GTAAGATTCTTACTTCTGTTATAAAACCCAAGGCATAACTTATGTTTATTTTTATTTATCGATGATGATTATTGTTTTTGTTATTTAATTTTACCTTTATATTTTTTATTATTTAAATGAATAATTTAAAGTTAGATTTATAAAACAAGCAATTCATGCTTAGAAGAGAAATATAATAAGTGTTTCGGATTAATACTGTAGTATTTAAAAGAATCGTCTACAGACGATGAAAATTTCCAAATCCAGCAGTACAAGGTATCTTAAAAAATTGTTGACGGTATCGTATAAAAAACCTACTTTTAGTAGATACGCTTGTTAACTGATTTTTTATCAGGTGATATAATAATGTGTGTCTGATTTTAACTTTTTTAATATTATTTTAGTTTTCTTTTTATTTATTGAACAATCAGTTTATGGTTGGTATTGAAATATAATAAGTGTAAAGTTTCTAGTAAAAATTGTATCTCGACTAGATTCTTTTAAACACTGAATAGAATAAAAATGACCACATCCAGCAGTATAAGATACCTTAAAAAAATGTTGACGTTATCATGAAAAAAACCTACTTTTAGTAGGTATACTTGTAAACAGTTTCATTCCCTCAGCTTTTCAAAGTAGATTGAAAATTGCTCAATGTGGAATTTTTGACGTGACAACGTCTTAAATTAGGTTGCGGCTGGGAGTCACTTATGAAAAAGTGTAACGCTCGGTAACGTTACGATGAGTCTCTCGTGTTAAGTTTAAGTTTACATGTACAATGTTTTAGTAAACAAAATATATTTCTATAGTTAAAATTTGTGCAATTCTTATTTTCATTCAATTCCTTGTTCCTATTGTGCAATTTAATTATATTCATATCAATAAATATTCTACCGAGAAAAAGACGTTGTCACGTAAAATCTTCGCCCGTAAAACCGACTTTACAGGCAACCATTTTTTTTTTATTGAATTTTAATAAAAAACTTATATTTAATAAAAATACTTTTATTTTTTTCTCTGACGCTACTCTGTAGTGACGTCGAGTACTGGTCGCGTGATTGGTCGGTAGCGCAGTGACGCGGATCTCGCCGTCTCGTTCGCGCTGCAGTTGAAACTTATATTGCTGTTTCGTGTGAGTGTTGCATATGTAGTAAAGTGGGATCAGTTTTTGTTTGATGCAAGTAAGAGCGTACCGTATCTACCCTTTTTGTTTTAATCTAAGTTTATAGGCATTCAATCGGAACACACTTGTGATACCTTTTATATTATCAGTAAATAATTGGGTTAGTTTAATAGGATTTCTATTGCCTATCATCTCTCTTTCTTTTGACTCTACGTAGACCGTATAGTCAACGGCACTTTTTTCTAAAAACAATCGAGTGTAGTTGGTTTTAAAATATATTTTATACTTATCCACCGAAGAGTCGACAGTCCTTTTGTATTTTCGCTTACGCTCGCCCTCCTCTCCGTCGCTTTGCGACCCCATTTTTGCAGATGGGGTTCGCTTCTACGATAAAATCTATTTAGTACTGCTTTTATCAGTAATTAATTATTAAAAAGAAATAAAATTATTTAAAGAGAAAAATTTCCGCGCGCCTTATTTGACTTCCCGCCAAAAAGTCCAGCTGATGTACATAAGTTTGGTGTTGCCAGACACATGAATAATGTTAGTTCCTCAAACATTCATGTCACGACTTTATAGAAAAACTGTATGCACGTTTTTTCTGTAGGTAGGGCAGTTCTATTAGATTCCTTATTCAGAGGTTCAAAACCATCGCTCTGGGTGCACCTAATGTCGCACAGGCAAATTTATTAAAAATAGATTAGATTAAATGTAGACTGGAATCTTTTGAAACAAATATCAAACATTCCAATACCAGTTTGGCTTCAGTAAAGGAAAAAGCACTACTTTATATAAGTTGAAATTTGCTGATGATATTGAAATGTCATTAAATAACTATTTTTATTTTATAAGTTTCTTTTTAGACGTCAAATACGCTTTTAATAATGTAGATTTAGAAACTTCAGTTGTTATTTTAAACTCATTGAACATCTCAGGAAAGATATTGCAATTAATTTTTGATTTCTTTTATGATCGACAAATTTCTATTTAATTTGCCAACAAGTTTTATGGTCATAAGCTAGTTTTTAAGAGTGTAATGCAAGACGCGTCGTTAGCTCCTTTGGATTATTTGTTGTACACCGCTGGTATGTATTTACAGGCTTGTCAATTGAAATAATGCTGATGATCTCGTCGTTTATACCACCATTAGAAATATAAATGAAGCACAGATTGTAATAAATAAAGCCCTTGATAAAATATAGTTGTATTACAAAAAGCTGTTAAAACTAGAATTAAACCCAGCCAAGAGCAGTATTGTGTTTTTAGTAAATCTTTATGTAATAATAATGTAAATATAGTAATAAATATTAAATTTCACTAAAATCAAGCAAGTTTTGGAAAGCAAATTTTTAGGAATCATATTTGGCAGCAAAATATCTTTTAATGCTTATGTACACAGTATCGTCAATAAGATGCAAAAACGTGTTAATATTTTAAAATACTAGCCTTAGCTAGGGAATGTATCCTAAATATTTTATATGATTTTTGTAGCTTTTTATGTTATAGAAAATAGAATCTGGTATACCACCGATACATATTAGGGCCAAATTTTAGCTGAGAAATTCTTTGTAAAATGTATAGTAACATTGAATAGAGCAATGGAATCGATTCTGGCATGATTCTCTAAAACTAAACTTGACAATAGTGTGTCCTTGTCATATCTAGCATATCAAAAAGAAGACTCTGTACCCCTAGCACGAACCAATATCGAATTCGTATCGTTTGCGAGTCAGAGTAAATACTAGAGATCAACACTTACCTTACCGCGCCAGATAAGTCTGCGCGCGTCTGGTGGCGTGACTAATGTTGCCAGTTATGGGAAATAAATTTCCGATCACAGACATGAAATGGGAGAAGAGGGAAATTCTGATGAGGTTAATAAAAAACGTCTCATTAGTTTATATAAAATTTAATTCTTATTTTATGAAAAATTAGACATGAGGGCGATGATGAGGTGAAAATACTTACACTTCGTCTATTAATGTCATCAGGTTTGTCATGTATGATTAAAACAGAATAAATATGTTTTTCTAGAGCAAATATTCTTATTATTCACAGTTATAACAAATATGGTGTTTTCACAGTACTTTAGTGTTCGAACAAAATCAAACTAGCTAAGTGGACTACAAATACATAAAATGTACAAAATATACTTAAGTATAGATCCAAAATATATATAAATATTTAAATATATAATTGGAATATCCCCCACAAAACATAAAGGTATTGTAGTATCTGCTTTTTATGAAGTGTTTTTAATTAAAAAATAAACAATTTTATTGAATATCTAGCAGTACTTCTAAATTTTGCATTATTGTGGTCCTCCAGTGGGTCAATGCCTTCCATTATATCACTTTTTGGGTCTTCATTGATTTCGTCGTCAGAAGAGTCTAAGCTTTCATCGTCACTTGGATCAATTATAAATTTGTCAAGTTCTATATCCATAAGTGTATCTGATTCGAAATATTGGTCTTCGATTTTTTCTACGTGTTGACACACGTTAATCCATTCCGACGTTGTTATAGTTTTGAATGCTGCTTCAGTTATTCTGGATATTTCGCTTGCGGCTTGACTCACATTTTTCTCTCCAATACGTCTTTTGACTATAGCCCATATTTTTTTCTATCGGATTTAAATCGGAGTGATATGGAGGTAAGTGCACGACCTCATGTCCATGTTGATTTAATAAATATTCGACTTCATATACTGGATCTCCTTTGCTTTTTTTATTAATTCGTACAACTGTGGTTTCGTCCAGTAATCTTCAAACGGAATACCATTATTTAATAGCCATTCTTGCATTTCTGATTTTAAATTGCTCATTGTAGGTGCTTTATTTATTTGTGTGCAATGATATGATGCATTATCCATTACCACGATGCAATTAAGTGGCAAGTTCGGAATGATTTTTCAGTCATCCATTTAATGAAATTCTTAGCATTCATGTCATCATGATAGTCGCTTGATTTTGATTGGGATTTAAATAGCAGGAGCCCATTTTTGACAAATCCTGTTTTTCCGCCAGCGTGAGCTATAATCCAGCTTGTGCCGGTACTATCCGAAGTCAAAACACCTGGTTCTTCATTGGATTGCCAACATTTTTGAATGTGGTAGGAAGCATGGATGTATGTTTCATCGAGATATATGACAGGACGCTTTTCGTCCAAACGGTTTTTACGCATCCTAAAAATAAATTTGGCTCTCCAAGCTGCAATATCAAAACGTTCCATTAAGACTTTGCGTTTGGACTGGCACTTTTTATACTTGTACCCCATGCTTCTCAAAACACGCCTTAAAGTTGTTTTGCTATATTTAAAATCAATATCTGATTTCAGCGCGAGCCAAAGCTTATGAATGGTCGGAATTTCTTTTTTGACGACAAAAAATGATTGTATCATGTGCCTTATAGCACACGTGTCAAAATCGTCTATTTCCAAAAAACTCTTTCGCTCCCTATTTTTTCCTGGAGTTATAATTTTTGAATTCTAAGCTTCAGCTATAGTACTTTCTCGAGTTATATGAGTGACAGTCCGTTCAGAAATACCTGAAACGATTAAATATATTATGATTATCCGACATACTTAAAAAACAGAAATTACCCTACACGAAAGCAAAATACCATGCAATGGTCACCCCCAAAAATTACCTCTCAAGAAAGCAGTCCGTGCGCGTACTTTAGAAAATGGTACAATTGGTCCCTTATTGTCCCGTTATGCTTCACAAGAACGTTTCACGTTCAAAACAATCTCTCTGCCAGCACTTTTAATTACTTTTGGCATGATGGTTACCAAATTTGACCACTGAAAACTAATAAAAACGCAAAACACTACACACTCACAACATCTGACGTAACGACAACATGGCGGCCTGCGATTAGTTCCGATTTTGGCCGCGCGCAGACTTATCTGGCGCCGTGTCTGGCGCGCACCTTATAGTTGTCATTCTGTAATACGGTGGGCCTAAGTCTGTGGTAAAACCATAATATATCTTTATGAGTGTCTGTCCTTGTCGTTGAATTTCATTCGGATAATCAAAATTCCTTCTCTTTCCCTCCAACTGAAAATAATGATTTTATTTCACTCCTTACCCATTGATACATTAATTTGCTTTCCTGACTGATATTCGCTAGCTTGTTGTTTGCCCCTGTTTTGGTATTCAGACAGTGAGCTTTTATTTATAGTTGATTGAGTACAATGGATTCTTCTTTACGGGAGCAAGTTATGATAAATCAATTCGTACTGGCAGCAGGATGTGCTCAAGAACAAGCCAGACAGTTATTGCAAGCTGCTCATTGGCAATTTGAGGTACATTTCGTAATATATGTAAACAAACAGTAATCATGAAATGGCTGCTTTGTTTTGTGTTTTGCAATATTTGGCCGCGAGCCCTAGCTCATTATCATTTCAATTGAATGTATGGGTAATTTTTAGGCTGATTTAAGACCTTCTACATAATGTAATCTTATTATTATTGCCATACGTAGGAATATTATTACCTGCTGTCATTGTTTAGGTACAGGTTATCAATGCGTTAATACGCAATAAAGACAATACAGGTAATCGTCAATGTGACGTATTCCTTAAAAATAAATACGAGATTGTGCTAGAAAGTACATTTCCTAAAAATACAATGTTCTTTGGTCAATTAAAAAATTTACAGAACGAAACGTTAAAACCATAAATATCCAGTTTTTTCAGTTATATTCATTGATAGGTTTTGTAGTCATTTATTTACTATTAATTTGTGCCTAGACAGACTAAAAGTTTCCGAGATCCAGAAGTTTCTATAGTGCTTTTCAATTGTTATTTTCGCAGTCTCCTAGAATACTGCAGTCCGATTTGGAGCCCTTTCTCATTCAATTCATATAAATAGATTTGAAGATTTGCAAAAAAAAATTTTTTATATCACCTCACCTGTAGACAACTGTTGTCGCTCTATTAACTCCTATGCAAGTAGTCTTGAGCATTATAATATGACACCACTGGCTAGAGGTTGGCGGATATTGTATTTCTCCAAAAGTTATTGCATGGCAAGCTGGGTATTCCAGATATACTTGAACAATTGCGACATTAGAGTGCCCGATCCGGAAATTGTTTGATCAATCATAAAACATCTATTTTGCCTCCATGACACAAAAAAAATCTGTCAACATTCTCCCTTGTGCAGTCCCCACGCAAAATAGTCACTGGGTGTCGAGTTGCGGAAACAGCCCACCATACTACTAGAGACTAAAGACACCCTTGTACAGCTTATGCTATTCGCATAATGATGTTTTACACAATCTCGATATATTCAATGCATCAGTCAGTGCAGTAAAACAATTCTTTGACTTCAATTTTATCATTTAAGTATATATATTTTACTTTGTGAAGTCTCAGATTTAAACTTGGTTTAGAATCAAGTGCGAAACTAAATTTAATTGATTTTCATGTCATGTTCACTTTGAGAAGGCGTTTTATTTCACCTAGTTTTTTAATAATAATTAGTGGATTACATATGCTATGACTGTATGCCTGTTTGTGAACCAAATAAAGAAAAAAGAAAAAAAAATGTTTTTAATTTTTACCTACTTTTAAATATCTTTTTTTTCTATTTTTATGACAAATCATGCATGCCATAAAAAAAGAAAAAGAAAGATTTTTAAAAGTAGTTAATTATTACAATAATTTTGAGCCAAACAATCCTCACGTAATAAGTTTATACTGCATGTCTATTATTTATATGTCTATATCTATCTGTATTTCTTTTTTTGAAATCAGCCAATTATGTTTTCTGAAACGAAAATATATAAGTATAACAATCTACTTTGTTATGAAAAACTTAAACATCAATTAATGAAACATATTGATTCTGTGAATGATGCGTCTTGCTTATACATAACATTTTTGATATGTTTGTTATGTATTGATAACCTAATATGTTTATAATAACCCTATTTAGATACATAAAAAGAAGCTGTCTGAGAAATTTGGTAATGATGTGTTAATTTTACATTAGGTATTTATTTTAATACAGCTTTTAGCAACATCCAAGAACACAAACTGTATACAGTGAAGTCAAGTTTTCAAAACTTCTCTTATGGACCTTAAGCTAAGCTTTCTCTTGGTTGGTATTTAATTTTTAGGATTTTTAATTAAGAAAATTTCAAATTATATGATAACTGTATGAGTTGTGGTCTACACCATAACATCAAGAAAATTAAACAGAAGTAGCAGATGACACATAAAACAATTTCAATAATAATATCAATTGGCGTAAGGGACAAAAATGGGAACATCACTTTTTTATCTTTCCACACTCAGTTTAAAATTCTCTAGCGAATGGTATATTTGAAATGTTGGTATCTCGCATAATTTGTTCAATATAACCCAATTTTTTTATTCATTCTAAATATGTTTTTGTGTAGAAGAAGACTAAGGGTCTCGTCATTCAGACATTAAGTAGTATGTAACACTATGTTAACAAAAATAGGGGGCAAAATATAAGTGATGCTTGTTTTTTTATTGGAGAAGTTACCCAAACATTGTTTGTTATTGCATTTTCTTAAATTTATATGACATTTTATTTGTTCTAAAACATTGTGAATTTTGAATTAACTGATAAATAATAATAATTAATAATAAATAAATATTTCCAACACTCACACCAATAAGCCTAGCCCCAAAGTAAACTAGGCTTGTGTTATGGGATACTAGGGTATCGGAAAGATATAGTATACTGTACATATTTAAGTATATTTATATAGAAAATACATATTAAACATCCATGACTGGAGTACAAATGCCCGTATTCATCACACAAACATTTGCCCCCCAACGGGATATGAACCCAGGACCTCTCGAGCCGGCGACATTATGAAACCCGGCGTACACACCACTCGGCCACTGAGGTCGTCCTGATTCACAATTGAATTCAAACAAAAAAGTAGGCTATATTTCTGAAAAAAAATATAAGTGGCTCAACATTAACTCAATAATTAAACAATTAGGCACCATTTAACTGCCACAAATTCATTCAAATAAACTGGGCCTGATTTACCGACATGCTAATAAGGCTTGAGCCTGGGGCGCCAGGACCAAGGGGGCGCGGGCGGCCGGCGGGCTCGACGATGAACTACCGCGGCCGCCTGCGACTTCGTCCACGTTAACTTTTTTTTTTAAATCCCTTCGGAACCTAACATTTTTTCGGAAAAGAAAATCCTTATATCCTTTAAAATATCTCAATCCTGGTAAAGTATATTTATATGTGCCAAAATTTACCCAACTTTGTTCAACGCTTTTCCGATTTAATCAAGCCTAATCAGTAAAATACTCCCCAGTAAAACTTTCTTCCCCTTTTCATTCCGTTATGGGGTAGAGTTTCAAAGAACCATAATACATGTTATTCTTCATTCCAGGTCTCAAGTATAAGTAATGCGTTTTAAGTTATTATTTAGTATAGAATTCAGAATAAAGAAAGTTAGGCCCGTATTAATACATTGCTCTCAACTCTGAGACTACGATTATGAGAAACTATAATCAAACAAAAAAACAGCATCTCAAGATTGTACTCAAGACCGCTCTCAGAGCTGAGAGTGATCTATTAATCTCTTAATGTGTATAGACTATTAATTAGTTACTTAAGAAAAAATAAAGTGAGACTAATAACAGTTGTTTTTTGCAGTTAATACTATCTCCATCTTTAGCAAACATTTTCAAATTGGGTTTAACTGTAGTCAATGTTATGTTTTTATTTTTTTTAAGCATTTAACTGCTAGATATTTAAATCTAAAGAAATATTTTTTTCTAGTAAAACTTTTCTGTAGTCAATGTTGTAAGGGGCTTCAGTAACTGATTTCAGTATAGTTTACATACACATTTTTATAAGCCTGTTCTACAGCACAAGTATGAGTATTACAACATTAACATTATTTCAATTTTAAGGTAATATTATATTACACCGATTCATGATTTAGGGAAGTATAACATAAGTTAAGATAGTTAAAAGAGAACCCTATTTTAACTATAGCAATAAAGGCTTTCAACTTTGTAGCTTCCTAAACTTAAGATATTTAATACTGTTTATAAAAGTTTAAAAAATTACATATTAGCAATCCGACTTATTATTATGATGCTAGTGACAGTGAAAATTTAAAACAATAGATAAATAAGTTTTTGGAAATTCTTAATCAGTTCTATATTCCTAATTCCATAGTAACACGTCATTACAAATTAAGCAGAGCTTATAAATTATGAAAATAAACAAGAAGAATCACTCAGAAACAAAAAAAAAATCTCATCACTGAAATAATAATAAATATTTTTTATTATACTTGTACCAAAGTACTACAAATAAACTAAGCATAAAGTCATGCCTCATTCCAAACTCTTGAATTCAAATAGATGATAAGGAAAAAGTGATTTGTTAAATTATATTAAGCTTTGTATTAAGAAAGTTGGGCCAAGTGGCCCTTAGCAAAAAATAAAATAATACGTTACCTTTTACTTTTATAAAACTTTTTAATATCCTAAAAACTGTAAGAGCAGATAAATATTTAGTCCTGTAGCAGAGATTACTGGTTTGTTTTGTTGTTTTTCATTTGTTCATTGTTATTTCAGACGGCGCTATCAATATTTTTTCAAGAGGTTGCAATACCATCAGGGGCGAACGGTATCGCGGCACCACACTATCGTCAGGTAATGCCTTTTCCGATTTCGATTTAACTTATTTAACTATAGCATATTAAAGTGTGGCGAAAAGCGTCGGGGATAGCATTGAGTTTTGCGGAATACCAAGATCCATGCTACTATCAACTAAGTAATACTGATATTAGTATCCTATAGGAAAAAAAACAACTTAGATCCTTAATGGGGAAGGCGGGCAATGTATTTTCTATACAAACGCTCGCGATTGATTCCTCCTCGATTATTATCACTAAAGAAATGATTTTCATGCATAAAATATAATTTTACTCGTTCTATGCTCCTATGTCTCCCTTCCTTCTATAACTTGTTATTCAAAGAAATTAGAAGCCCTCGAAATCCCCAAATAAAAACTATTTTTATCACCACTAAAGACGCACAGTGTGGAGATCCATTATAAGCATTTACAAAAAAAGCAAAACGTAGAGGCCTAGTATAACTAACTTATTATTCTATGGGTAAAATTTCTTTTAGATATATCTAATTTTCTAGGTAAATTTAACGCAATTTTTATGTACAAGTTTTGTACCTATTGATACCTACGTTTTCTGTATTACGAATGCGTTTTATTCGATATGGTAACTTTTTTTAGCAATTGATGACGCCATGTAACACGCCAGCGACACCGCCGAACTTTCCGGACGCGTTGGCTGCGTTCTCGCGGTTGTCCACGACGGGCAGCCCGAGCGGCGGCGGCGGCGGCCCCACCGGCGGAGCTCCGTCCGTGTCCCCTCTCGCGACGCACCCGCCGCCGCACCAGCATGCCCATGTGCCCAACACCTTTCCCGGTTCGCCGAACACGCAATCTAACTACGCATCGATGTCCTGCTCAACTGCCGTAAGTTGGTTTTGAAGTGAAACTTCTATATCTTATATATATTCTCGTGTCACAGTATTAATTACCATACTCCTCCGAAACGGCCTGACTGATTTTTATGAAATTTTATATGCATATACCGTGGGTCTGAGAATCGGCTACTATCTATTTTTCATATCCTTAAGTGATAATGGTTGTCCACCTGTAACGTAGTGTTCTGAAACCTACAATGCGCCTTCGCGCCAAAATTCAAACTATTGGGTATTGTAACGTAGTGTTCTCATATGGGTTAGGAGGAATGTTATCCCAGGAAATTGATTGAACACTACGTTACTTAACTTTGTTTTCAAATCGAAGCCGTTTGTTTGTTTTGCGGTCCTAATGTCACTTATACAATTTGCTCTCTACTACTCATTAAGCCAACGTATTTCCCTACTAGCCGAAGAGACAGAGATTGCTGTTATACTTGATCGCAATTCAAAATTTTGCTGCACTCTAGTTTTTTTACACATGTTAGGCTATGTCGTAAGAAGCTTAAATTTAAAAATCAGGGAATGTAGGGTGGTTACAACTGGCCACCATATTGGAAAATGCGTTAATCGCTATATCTCGGAAATTTTTGACTTTACGGAAAAAATGTGCTTTTTTGTTTATTATAAAATTCCCTAACTGCTGTTTAAAACTTTTTATTGTTACTAATGCCGTTTTTCAATTATTGTTGTTTATTTGAACATGTTTGTAGGTTTTCCTTTATAAACCCCTAAAAATGCCAATTATTGATAAAAAACGTCTTATAAAAGTTATTCATCTTTAAATTCCCTACAACTTTTGTATAAAACTTTTTTTTAATTTATGCGTCGTTAATGTGGCGCAAAAACAGGCATTGAATTTAAGTTACAAAATAATCCGAAAAATTCACTTACTTGCATTCAATTTGGAGCAAAGGAATAAGGTTGAAGAAAATATTTATTTCCGTTAAAAATTAATCCCGAAAAAAATCTACAATAGTTTTCGACCAGATACAGTAGGAACATACTTGTCTTTTGATTCAGAATAATCTTCTAATTGAATGTCTACTTCGTCCTGTGCCGTTTGCATCGATTTTAATGCTTTGATCAAGCAATTATTTTCATATTCAATGTCTACATCTGGCTCAGCAAATAACAAGACTTTCGTATGTAGTTGATTGTAGTAAACATTATTTCGTTTGTAGTTGCAAAGTCCCAAAACTTCCCAAACTATCCGTGCGGTGACGGAGAAAGAATACAACTCACCGCCCCTTCTCTTCCCGTGGGTGTCGTAAAAGGCGACTAAGGGATATCGGAGCTTCCATCCGCTCCTCTGGTGGTAGGGTGCCTAACACCCGCCTGGTTTGCTACCACCGTGCGCATGGTGAAAAACCCGTGAAGTGCTTCTCGCGCGTTTCGGGGTTAGCCAGCGTACAACCAGGGCTCGAGTGGAGGTTGTCGCGACGGATTCGGTCCAGGGCGAGGCATCCGTCGAACCGATGCCGGGAGGACTGCATCGACCCGCCGGCCAGGGAGACCTGTAGAAACGGCTGTCCCGCTGGCCGCCCGTGGCACAGTACAGGGGCCCGAGCGTTCCTAACCAGTTCGCGGCTGCCCTATCATGTCACGCATAATCTCGGGGTGGACCGTCGTGCCGGTTGGTGACCGGGGCGTGGGGTCCCGGCGGCCACTTCCGGGAGGGTGCGGGGGCCCTTCCGTCCGGCGGGTCGGCGTATATCCTCTGCAGGCAATCATTCGGGGAAACATGCCTTCCTAATTTGCCCGGTCTTGTCGCGACGAAGTCTACTCGTTTCACGTCTCTTTTTTACTTCCATAATGGCAGCTCTTAAAACAAAGTTTGGACGTACAGCGGTGCACACCCCCACGCCTTCAACTCTGTTTGAGGTCGAGTTATGCAACATACGCGGACTCCACTCTAACCTCAATGCTGTCCACCACCACCTTGAGACAGCACGGCCAGCATTGTTGTTCCTGACGGAGACACAAATACTTCCGCCTGCTGACACAGGCTACCTTAACTATCCCGGCTACGTGCTTGAAGAGTCCTTCAAAGCGAAAGCCGGTGTATGCCTGTATGTTCGGGCGGATGTTTGTTGTTGCCGTCTCCGCCGCTCTCCATATTGGGGGTACACGTCGACTCAGGTCCCCAGGCCAGAGTCTACGTATGCCTCTACAGATCCCATACTGGCGATGTTGAGACAACTCGACTTTTCGAACATCTTAGTCGGGCAGCAGATGACGCGCAGGAGCAATTTCCCAATGCAGAATTGGTGTTTTTGGGGGACTTTAATGCTCACCACAATTTGTGGTTAAGTTCCTCGAAAACTGACCATGCAGGGATCTCTGCTCACGCGTTCGCTCTCACGCATGACTTGAAGCAACTGGTTGATCAGTCAGGATTCCAGATATTTCAAGTCAAGCGCCTTCATTGCTGGACCTTCTGCTCACGACCCATCCACAGGGCTATCAGGTTGTGGTAGGAGCCCCCCTGGGCTCTTCAGATCACTGCCTGATATCTGCCAAAGCGCCACAGGCCAAACCTCCGCGTCCAACGGTGGTAAAACGCCGGATCTGGCACTATGGGTCATCAGATTGGGACGGTATGCGTGACTACTTTGCGTCCGTCCCTTGGAAGCAGCGCTGCTTCAATGAGAAGGACCTATCGGCCAGCGCCATTGCTATTACTGAGGAGATTGTAATGGGTATGGAATACTATATTCCTCATTCCAATCTCATCAGTAAGGGCACACGTAACCTCTGGTTCAATCACGACTGTGCTGAAGCTGCTTCGCGTAAGCAAGCGGCATATCGTGCTTGGATCAGAGGCCGCGCTCTTAAGGATCCCGGGGTCGATTCACTAAAAGCAGCCTACAATATTGCTTCCAAGGCCTGTAAGAAGGCATACATCAGAGCGGATGCCCAGCGCGTTGCACGTGTTGGTCACGAACTTATAACGCATCCTACGGGCTCCCGTAGCTATTGGCGTTTGGCCAAGGCCGTTCAAAAGAACTTCTGCCAGCCCTCGCTGCCACCTCTGAGATGTCCAGACGGAACACTAGCTCATAAGCCGCAGGAGAAAGCCGATTTACTGGCAAAACTCTTTGCGGCTAACTCCCGAATCGATGATTGCAATGCACTGCCACCATTATTACCTCATTGTGGCACAACGATGCCTGATATCAAAATCAGGCAGCGTGAGGTTCGTGCCGAATTGCAATCACTCGACGTCCGGAAAGCTAGTGGACCTGATGGCATCCCAGCAGTAGTATTGAAAAAATGTGCAGCGGAGTTGTCTCCCGTGCTCACGCGTTTGTACCAGTGCTCGTATTCTTTGGGGCGTGTGCCGGAGACTTGGAGAGATGCTAACGTGCAACCGATACCCAAAAAAGGGGATCGCTCAGACCCGGCAAACTACCGGCCAATAGCAGTCACCTCAGTATTATGTAAAGTCCTAGAAAAGGTCCTTAACAACCATCTGACCCGCTACCTAGAGGATCACTCCCTGATTAATGATCGTCAATATGGTTTTAGACCGAAACGATCGACGGGTGATCTTCTAGCGTACTTAACTCATATCTGGGGTGAGGCTATCGACAAGCGGGGCGAGTCGTTGGCTATCAGCCTAGACATTGCCAAGGCATTCGACAGGGTCTGGCACAAAAGCCTTCTCTCCAAGCTTCCGGCGTACGGTCTGCCGGCCCAGTTCTGTTCTTGGGTAGCTGACTTCCTGCATGAGCGTAGAATTCGTGTCCTTACGGATGGTAGCAGTTCGCGGTTCATGTCAGTGAATGCTGGCGTTCCCCAGGGCTCCGTCCTATCCCCCACTCTCTTTCTGCTGCATATCAATGACCTAATTCCCCTTGGGAATATTCATTGCTATGCAGACGACAGTACAGTGCATGCGGGGTATCTCGGACAAGCAGCGGCTGGGCAGGCGGTAAACAAGGAGAAACGGGAGAATCTTGTCATTGAACTCAATCAGGCTTTGGACCACATTTCTGAATGGGGTACCAAGAACTTGGTTGAGTTCAATGCTTAGAAAACCCAGGTCTGCGCTTTCACGGCAAAAACGTCGCCATTCCTTTTATGTCCTTCTCTTCAGGGCACAACACTGGAGCTAGAGAGCAGTATCACCATGCTCGGTATGGAGATTCGCTGTGACTTAAATCCAAAAAATTACATCGAAAGTGTGATAAAAACAGCCTCACGCAAACTCGGAGTCCTGAACAAGGTGTGGCGTTTTTTCACGCCCGAGCAACTATGCTTGTTATTTAAGACGCAGGTTCGGTCTTGCGTGGAATATTGCTCGCACCTCTGGGATGGCTCCGCCAAATACTTGTTCGATGCTTTGGATAGGTTACAGCGGCGCGCAATACGCACCATAGGCGATGAGGAGGTGACTAAACACCTCGAGCCTCTTCAATTACGCTGTGACGTGGCGTCACTAAGCGCGTTCTATCGTCTGTATCACGGCGAGTGTTCTGAGGAGTTATTCTCTCTTATTCCACCTTCCCCTTTCCTTCAGAGGACCACGCGCGCTGGCTTACGTTGTCACCGTCTAACTGTGGCTACAATTCCAACGCGTACAAATAAATTTGGTGACTCATTTCTTTGTCGTACTATCCGTAAATGGAATGCTCTGCCCGCTCACGTGTTCCCTCCCTCTTACAACCTGGGATCCTTTAAAAGAGGCGTGAAGAAGCAACATGCAGGCCGGCAGGGTGAGGATGGCTGGTGTGGCAGATAGAACTGCTGTATCAGCTATCTTCGCGTCTGGACTTCACCTCCACTTAACATCAGGTGGGGTGGAGTCATTTGTCGGACCTATCTATAAAAAAAAAAAAAACTTTTTTGATGCAACCACAAACAAAAATTCTTTCACTACAATCAATCACAAACTATTTTCGATGAGAATCAATAAAAAAATTTGGGTTCGGTTGAAACGGGCTGAAACGGATTTTTCAAAGTCCCATAACTTTTTTTCTGAAGCAACTACAAACGAAAATTCTTTCACCACAATCAACTACAAAGATTCCCGATAAGAATCAATCAGAAAATTTGGGTACGGTTGAAACGGGGTGATACTGATTCTTCAAAGTCCCATAACTTTTTTTTGAAGCAACTACAAACGAAAATTCTTTCACCACAATCAACTACAAAGATTTCCGATAAGAATCAATCGGAAAATTTGGGTACGGTTGAAACGGGGTGATACTGGTTCTTCAAAGTCCCATAACTTTTTTTTGAAGCAACTACAAACGAAAATTCTTTCACTACAATCAACTACAAACGATTCTCGATGAGAAACAAACAAAAAAATTGGCTACGGTTGAAACGGGGTGATACTGATTCTTCAAAGTCCCATTACTATTTTTTGAAGTAACTACAAACGAAAATTCTTTCACTACAATCAACTACAAACGGTTCTCGATGAGAATCAATCAGAAAATTTGGGTATGGTTGAAACGGGGTGATACTGATTCTTCAAAGTCCCATAATTTTTTTTTGAAGCAACTACAAATGAAAATTCTTTCACTACAATCAACTACCTACAAACGATTCTCGATGAGAATCAATTAAAAATTTTTGGTACGGTTCAAACGGGATGATACGGATTTTTCGAAGTCCCATAATTTTTTTTGAAGCAACTACAAACGAAATTTCTTTTACTACAATCAACTACAAACGATTCTCGATGAGAATCAATCAGAAGATTTGGGGACGGTTGAAACGGGGTGCTACTGATTCTTCAAAGTCCCATTACCTTTTTTTGAAGCAACTACAAACGAAAATTCTTTCACTACAATTCACTTCAAAACTACAAACGATTTCGGATATATGGCTGCAATAAAACAAGTATCTTTTTTAATTTTGAAGCAACTACAACCGAAAATTCTTTCACTACAATCAACTACAAACGATTTCGGATATGTGGCTGCAAGAAATTAGTTTACTGAATAAGATTACGTGCATTGCCCGTAATGCAGTTGGGATAGCCCGGTTTACTGGACCAATTAAACGTAGTAGTCGAAATCTAAGCACTAAATCTACTCTCGCTTTAGTTTTAATTGTGATACAGGGTGTTGAATTTTAATGACTTCGAACAACCCCCGACATAAGCGCAAGAGTGTCTGTTTTTATTTTTGGTGAAGAAATGTTGTCCTACCAGCAGAAATTCTGAATGATATTGTTTCCTTCGAAAATATGAGGGTTCAGGGCTGAGGGTGTTAATGTTATATGCCCCCAGTGCATATGTTAATTTAGTTGGTAATTTTATCTTTTTGCGACCAACATTGTCAGGTTTAAAGAAATGTCTGTGTTGTTGTCCAATGTTTATTTAATTATCATTTATTTGTTACAGGTATGCAGTGAACATATGCCAAGATAAGTTTAAAATATTAGTTTAGGAGCATCTATAATTTATTTTTATAATGGTGCGCAATGTGAGCTGTGGAATTGTGTATGAAAATTTATAAATATATTCTTCAATAAACACCCTATCAGCAAAGATAAAGCTGGACAATATTTAGGGTGTGGTAGTCAATCATGTTATATACTATGAAATATTACAAATATGTATTTTTATGTATACAGTGGGCTCAATTCTGATCAGCCTTTATTTTTAAGGCGAAACCTGGTTCTCGTTTGTCGTCTTAAAAAAACCGGTTGACTGTTATATTATCATAATATAAAATAGACAAATAAAGAAGCAGTTGTGGGGTGCTTCACAAGACAAAACATTTTTGTTTTTTCTATATGATTGAAAATCAAGGAATTTATATAACAGGTAAAGTTGTTCAAAATTAAATGCATCCATTTACTTATAGTAATAGAATAGTTATTATGACTTCTATTGAAATGCTTAGAGAATGCAAAACGACTCGAGCCCAATGTTAATTTTTACATTTCGCATATATTTGCTCTATAGTAAATTATGTTTTGGTCTAATTTAGTAGCGTTTTTGCAATGTCAGAAAATGAAATGTAATCATGTATAATATAAAAAACTGACTTGTAAAAAATCAAACAAACCTAATCGACATACTGTTCATATTTTTTACGGTATTGTTTATGATATAGATTATTTAAAAATTAAAACGCAATTATTAATGTTGATATAATTGACGATTCATAAAAGACAATACACGAATACATTTTATGAAAATAAGAATGAACAAACCGTTTCTGATTGAAGTAGGTAGCCGTATTCTAAGGACACGTTAGTGAACTTTTAATTCAAAAATTTGATATTTTTACTGTTATTATAGTATTTATAATCACATCATTAATTACCATTATGGTTTATTACACGATTTGTACAGTTTTAGACAAATATTGGAATGTCATGCTGCATGAACATAAAATATTTGGTAATTATTATTAAAAAATGTAAGTAAAATAGATTTATTTCAGATAACTGTAGGTAAGAAATAAATAAGATTCAAGGGTTCGAAATAATGTGCTGGGTAAGCTTAGAAAGCAGGAGTTATAAACCAATATAAGCTTAATCAGCTAAAAATACGTTTTTTTAGACTTAATAAACACATTTCAAAACGTTTTTTTTCTGTATGAACTTATCCCCTAATTTATGTTAATATATCCAGATAAAACAGTTTACTTTTGTAAACGATGTTAGATATAACTAGAAACCCAGTATTCAATATCAGAAATTAACACAATTTTGTATTTTGATTACTTATATTTTTATTGAAAAAATCAACGTCATCATTACTTGTTCGTTATTCTCAAAATACACGTAAAACGTTATTTCATTAAAGTTCTTGTCCAGACAGCATGCGTTTTCTTATAGTTACAGTAAAACTGCAAATTTTCCACTCGACTCAACCTCATTCGAGAAAATTCGTATGCTTAGACAACAAAAATATCCTTCACTTGAGATATTCCTCACTCGAGTGGAGGTCGAGTCGAGGAATAAACTGTCAAACTCAAGGTAGGTCTCGACGTACCTTAAGGCTTCCTCGAGTGGTGTTTAAGGTGTTTTTAAGTTGTTTTTTTAGATTTTGAATTTTGAGATTATTGACGAATTGGTGGCGCGACGGTATTTACGTGACGCCGCAAATCCTTATGAGGTTTACGACAATGATTCGTTAAAAAGAAGATTTCGGTTTAGAGAGATACATTCATACAAGGAATCTGCTAAGCATTACACTAAATTGTAATAACAGAGGACTACCTGTACCGCCTTTAATACAATTGCTGGTTGGTGACTTTGTTTTAAGTTTAAGTTTTACGTGACAGGATTATTACAAAGTAGGTATTTACCTATGTTTGTTGTGTGATATTTTACCTTACACATATAATATGTCTATGCTTTTATGCTTTATACCTTTGTTTGTACTCTCAGTGGAGGATTTCTCAAGTTTGTTCAAGATACCTACTAGAATATCATTTTCGAGGTTATTTGAAGGAACTCCGTAAGGAGCCCTCGAATGAGTTAGAGCCGAGGAACGTTTGAGGACGCGACTAAGAATATGGGTGTCAGTCGCTCAAGAAGTTTGCCTGAGTGTATAATATTACATATATTACATAATCATCAATATAATGTTGCTCTCAGACTTGCTTTTCTGTTATTTATAGGCATGGACAAGTAAAGTATCTTTAAGGAAAATATCCTATCCTATGTATAGGATAACAACCTAGTAGTTGAACATTTAGCGAACGAAACCGATCCAACAGTTTATCTATAAAGTCGTGACATGAATGTTTGAGGAACTAACATTATTCATGTGTCTGGCAACACCAAACTTATGTACATCAGCTGTCATCGAGTTTCAGTTGTGGAACAGTTTTATTATTAGTAGTATTTTTTATTGTTTGGATTAAACTGTAATAAATTAAGACGAAACTACGTGGAAAGGTATAAAAATGAGTAAAGTAAATCGTAGTGGCACGCGGGAAGTGATTTTTAAAGTTTTCCAGCGATGTTTCAATTCATTCATTCAATTTTGTGGGATTTGGATGATGTTTATGGGCGGACACCATCTATGTCGGGTATGTAATCGTGTAACTATTTGTTTGTAATCTGCCTGATGTTACAAATTTACTCAATTTACGATTTTGAGACCAAAAAAGGCATTTTTAGGTTAGATTGACATTGTAAATAGGTAATATTGTAGTACGACCATTTCTTTTGATACGTTATTATGGTTCAACTCGGTCAGATTTTCTACCAATTTTGAATTAATTGCTTCATGTCAATAAGTTATTGTTTCTATTCCGTTACATATTTTTTTACTTTTTTTCAGGAAAATCAGAGAGTCGGATAGTCAACGAAGGTTTTAAGAATGATGGAAAGTTTGAAACTCCTGGGAAAACAGGCAAGGCCGACCAAAGAAAGAAATGGTCACATAAAGAACCATGGCCAGATGCTTTTAGTGAAGATACCTATCACTAATTTTAGTAACTGCACATTTACAAAATGTTTCTCTAAATAAACTTTTTATATACTATAAAATGAATTTTAGTATTATTTTCTTAACAAGTGTGTTAAAAAACGTCGTATGATGAATCTTGTGTGTATTGATGATTACCTAACGGCTCTGGTCTCAATGACACCTCAGCGGTAATCACCAACATTACACACTTTTACACTATAAAGTACTATTTTATCTATAATAATTTTATTCTGATTCAGTTAAATATGCTTGGCTAAACTTTTTATAAGCATAGGTACCTACTATATATAAAACAGAAACAAAATACGACTGTATAGTGTGTCTTATTAATTACCTATTTTACTTGAATGAACATATATACTAACTGTAGTATCCAAATCATTTTGGTCCGACTGTATAGGGTTGCTACATGCATACTAGTGGCGTCATCATTTAATGTCACGACTTTATAGACAAACTGTAGATAAAAACAAAACCAAAAACTTGTCAAACCACATGATTATAATTATATCATTTGAAGTGTGTTATATTAATTAATTCACTTTTCGTGTTCTTCATCTTTATATAAAATAAACTCTTGATCCATTATAAAGCCACTATATTTATCTTCGAGTGTTTGTTCATTTTGGACAACAATTGAATCGTCAGATTGTTTACTTCTTTTAAATATAAGCTGTAACACAATTATGTTAATTAAATAGGTCCCATTGATATTTTAACTTGTGGTACGTAAATAATTTCCATCAATTTGCTAGGACGCCAATTTTTTATAGTAGGAAGGCGCAACAGATTACCCGCGCAATCCCACCTGATGTAAAGGTGCTGTCCCACGATGTGTGTTGGCGAAGTTGTACTTACTGAGTCGATCTTTTGTGGACTGGACATTTACTTTCTGATAATATTTTTGGTTTGTGTACATGACACAAACAGTCAACGTTGTTCAGATCTCATATAAAAGTGTACGAGATTTCTATTTACCTCGTATCGTGTATAGGACTCTGCTAAATATCAAACGTTAGGAGTTCTCATACGTTTGGCAACCCTGCGTAGCGCGTCCTCGCCCGCGACAACACATATCGTGCAACAGCACCTTTAAGTGGAGGCCAGTCGCGAAGATAGCTCAGGGCCGATTCACAACGGTATGTCAACGATTCGGCGAGCACTTTTCACTAAAAAGCAGTACGAAATAATTTTAAAATTCATCTACATACTTTAAAGACCAGTATCGTGATTTCGTCGTTCGTCGCTGTAGACCGCTGCCATTCCAGTGGGAATCGGTCCTAATGCAGGAGACAAATGTGCCGTCCTAGCTATGCTCAACTAGCTAGCTTGAACCCAATCTCCCACCCCGTCAAGCACTGGAACCCAACAAAAATACCACACCACAATAAGATAAAGCACAGATGGGGTGCTTTGTGAGTTGCTGATGTTAATATAATTATATGAAGTAAGTGTATGTGAAAACAGCCAACATTTTATTCTTTAACATAACCATTAACACTTTTAACGGTTATGTTCATCATCATCATCAGCCTATTAATGTTCCCACTGCTGGGGCACAGGCCTTCGCTATGTATAAAATAGGGAGATTGGGTCATGCATGACACACCATGCAGGCCCAGTGCGGATTGGTGGGTGCTATCGACTGCAAATGCAGCCGGGACCAACGGCTGAACGTGCCTTCCGAAGCACGGAGGAGCTCGTGATAATAAATTTTTGGTCACCCATTTAATGAGCGACGACTGCGAAAGTTGCTTAACTTTAACGATCGCAGCCGAACGCGCTAACCACTTGCGCCATCGAGCTCCTCGGTTACTTTACACAATAAAAAAGATTTGAAGTTTTCACCGTACAGAATCATATACCTACTCATCATCATCACCATGTCAGCCGTACGATTCCCACTGCTGAGCATAGGCCTCCCCTAAGGATCTCCACACCGATCGGTCCTTCGCCACTCGCATCCATTGGCTTCCCGCGACCTTTACAAGATCGTCGGTCACTGAGCGGCGTCCGGTGCGTGATCGCCATTCCAGAACCTTTCCGCCCCAACGACCATCGGTTCTTGCCACGTGTCCCGCACACTGCCACTTTAGCAGAGCAATCGTTCGAGCGACACCGGTTACTTTGGTTTTCCTACGGATTTCCTCATTTCTGATTCTATCGCGTAGAGAAACATCGAGCATCGCTCTCTCCATTGCTCGCTGTGTGCCCTTGAGCCTTCTTATGAGACCCGCAGTAAAGGACCACGTCTCGCTTCCGTAGGTCATCACTGGCAACACATACTGGTCAAAGACTTTTGTCTTGAGACACTGAGGTAATTTGGACGCGAAGATTTTCCGTAGCTTCCCGAGCGCTGCCCATCCGAGCTGGCGTATCCGAGAGATCTCTTTCTCAAAGTTGGACTTAACTACCTGGACTGTCGGTCCTAGGTAAACGTAACAGTCGAGAACTTCGAGTGTAGAGTTCCCAATTTTAACTGAAGCGGGTACTACATGGGCATTCGACATAATTTTCGTGTTATCCATGTTCATCTTAAGACCCACTTTTTGGGAAGCACTAAGATCTTCGAGCATCGTGTTAAGATCTTCCAAGGTCTCAGCCATAAGAACTACATCATCGGCGAAACGAAGGTGCGAAAGGTACTCGCTATTAATGTTAATTTCTCGTTCTTTCCAATCCAGAAACTTAAAAATATCCTCCAATGCAGCTGTGAACAGTTTCGGAGATATCACATCTCACGCCTCGCTTCAATTGGATAGGATTAGAGTTCTGGTTCTGTAATCGGACTGACATAGTGGCGTTTTCGTAAAGGTACTCGGACCTTAAACCTCGACATACTTGTAGTCTACTTGGCACTGTTGGAGAGACTGTAACACCGCCCATGTCTCAATCGAATTGAAAGCTTTCTCATAGTCCACGAACGCCAAGCAAAATGGCAGATTATACTCTTCGGTCTTCTGTATAACCTGCAGCATATGAATCTGGTCTATGGTACTGAAGCCTTTTCGGAAACCGGCTTGTTCGGGAGGTTGGAAGTCGTTAAACCTGCGTGCGAGACGATTCGTAATGACTCTCGAAAACAACTTATAAACATGGCTAAGAAGCGAGATTGGTCGATAGTTTTTCAAGAGCGCTTTGTCACCTTTCTTGAAGAACATGACAACCTGACTTCTGGCCCATGCTTTTGGCGTTCTGCCTTCGAGGATGATGGAATTGAAAAGCCTCTGGC